CTTCTTTTTGTGTCTGTGGTTTGGGGGGGGGGGGGGGGGTGTATCAAAGTAACAAGTCGTCATCACGCCATGCTTTAGGATTTCAAAATAGGACAACACGTGCTCACTAATGTACATGCATGTTATATTGATCTATAGAATGACCCACATTATAAATATAGTATTACATGAACGCATAAATATTATACATAGATATTATATAAATTACAGATAAGTACATTATCATACAAATACACGCATACTCTCTCTTTTATCTATCTATCTCTGTCTCTCCCTCTCTCTCTCTCTCACACACACACACAAACAAACACACAACGATATATGCCGATATGTTCAAGCCAGGGTAGTGGTGTCAAGCCGGCTTTGTAGCGGCAAGTTTATCAAGGAATAACTACATCTTGGGATTGGCTCGGTGTGGGTTCTGATCTTTTTTATTTTTTATTTGTCTTTTTTTTAAATTCTCCCCCCCCCCCCCCCCCCCCAAAAAAAAGGGGGGGGGGGGGGGGGGGCTGGGGACCATTTGAAATTTGGAAAAATCGTACACTGTTACATGTGTTTGTTTGTTTGTTTGTCTGAATAAAGAGAAGCACATCGACAAAATAACGGTCATTTGGATAAGGTATATCCGAAAGACAGAAGCAATAGAGGGAAAGCGAAGAAGTAGCATCTCGTTCAACAGAAGAGTGAAGTTGAGAAAAGATCAAACAACAAAAAAAAGAGGGAGAGAGAGAGAGAGAGAGAGAGAGAGAGAGAGAGAGAGAGAGAGAGAGAGAGAGAGAGAGAGAGAGAGAGAGAGGGGGGGGGGAAAGAGAAGATAAGAAAGAGAACAAAAACGAAAACAAGAAAGAGCGAAATAAGAAAGAGAATGTAGAAAGACAGAAAGAGATTAAAAAACAAACCAACAAGAAAGCGAAAAAAGAAAGAAAAAAAAAGAGACCAAAAAAAAAGAAGAAGAAAGAAAGAAAAAGACCAATACCAAAACAAAAAGGAGAGAGAAAAAATAAGCAAAGTACTAGATTACACCGTGGAATTGATAGCGGTAGAGAAACGTGGGACCAACCACTCAGTAGGTCTCCCGATAGTTTGTTTTGCCAATCACCGAGCTCATTCACGCCACGCGCAGATGCAAATCGCCAAGGGGGGCTGCTGCCAAAAGGTCCCATCTGCCTCACATTACTGCTGCACACAGAACGTTTCGACTCTGTGCCCGTCAAATGACGCGTTACGCTTGACACTGGTACCAACTACTAATCCATACACCTAGCTGATAATAGGAGAGAAGATGTTAGTGTCTGCTCGGGATGTGGAGACATTCGGCGAATTTTTTTTCTTCCAATTTAGGTGTTTTTACATCCCCGCCACTCTCCCCTAAAAATAATAATTTTACGACAACCCCACCCCCCCAAAAAAAAACACAACAACAACAACAACAACAACACAAAACAACCCCAATACAATTTAGACCATTCCGGAGATGGGCTTCTGATCCTAACTATCAGGGCCAATCCCAGCGGAAAGGTAGAGATACTCGATAAAAATTTCTCCCCAGTCGGGAATTGAACTCGAGCCTCTT